AGGTTTATAGAACTGGAAGATTTTCTTTGACACTATGAATTAGAAATAATTATGCACATGTATTATTTCTTCTATCAACGGAGTGTAAACATCTTAAGAAAAGGCACAGGGTCTCACTAATTTTTCAATTCCTAACAATTATCCTGCAAATTTCTTGGCATGCAATAGGCATGTGTTAGGAGACGGTGTGATACTGTAGAACAATCTAACGTTAGGAATCACACAGACCTGACTTGCAGAAGAATGAACATTTTTGTGAAGATTTTGGAAACAAAATCACCTTCTGTCATTTAGAGCTGCCCAGTAAGAGGCTGGTTATACATTCCTTCTCACTGGAAGTGGTGAAGCAAGAGCCAACTGAAAATCCTCCAGAGAGGTGGAGAAGAGACATCTCCATTTGGTGGAACATCAAATTGAAGTTCCTTTCAGTGACATGACTCTCTGATTAGGAGGAGAAAAAAACATCTCAAATCTCTAAAGGCCATTACCAAGGTGAATGCTGTTACATTTTAAACTCATCTACCATATCTCAATTTATCGACTATTTCCATTCCTATATTTTTCATATAATTTATTGTCAAATTTGTTTCCATACAACACCCAGTGCGCACCCCAACAAGTGCCCTCCTCAATGCCCATCACCCATTTTCCCCCTTTCCTCCACCCCCCATCAACCCTCAGTTCTCATTATTTGAGAGTCTCTTATGGTTTGCCTCCCTCCCTCTCTGTAACTTTTCTCCCCCTTCCCCTCCCTTATCTCCTGTTAAGTTTCTCAAGATCCACGTATGAGCGAAAACATATGGTATCTGTCTTTCTCTGACTTATTTCACTTAGCATAACACCCTCTGGTTCCATCCACTTTGCTACAAATAGCCAGATCTCATTCTTCCTCATTGCCAAGTAGTATTTCATTGTATATATAAACCACATCTTCTTTATCCATTCATTAGTTGCTGGACATTTTCATGATTTGGTTATTGTTGAGAGTGCTGCTATGAACATTGGGGTACATGTGCTCCTATGCATCAGCATTTCTGTATCCCTTGGGTAAATTCCTAGCAGTGCTATTGCTGGGTCATAGGATAGTTCTAGTGTTAATTTTTTGAGAACCTCCACACTGTTTTCCAGAGGGGCTGCACCAGTTTACATTCCCACCAACAGTGTAGGAGGGTGCCCATTTCTCCACATTCTTGCCAGCATCTAGAGTCTTCTGATTTGCTCATTTTAGCCACTCTGACTGGCACAAGGTGGTACCTCAGTGTGGTTTTGATTTGTATTTCCCTAATGATGAGAGACATTGAGCATCGTTTCATGTGTCTGTTGGCCATCTGGATGTCTTCTTTGGAAAAGTGTCTGTTCATGTCTTCTGCCCATTTCTTCACTTGATTATTTGTTTTTCAGATGTGGGGTTTGGTGAGTTCCTTATAGATTTTGGATTCTAGCCCTTTATCCAATATGTCATTTGCAACTATCTTTTCCCATTGCATCAGTTACCTTTTAGTTTTGTTGATTATTTCCTTTGTAGTGCAGGAGATTTTTATCTTAATGAAGTCCCAATAGTTCATTTTTGCTTTTGTTTCCCTTGCCTTTGGAACAGTAAGAAATTGATGCAGTTGAGGTCAAGGAGGTTGTTTCCTGCTTTCCCTCTAGGGTTTTGATCGTTTCCTGTCTCACATTCAGGTCTTTCATCCATTTTGAGTTTATTTTTGTGTGTGGTATAAGAAAGTGGTGTAGTTTTGTTCTTCTGCATGTTGCTGTCCAATTCTCCCAGCACCATTTGCTAAAAAGACTGTCTTTTTTCCATGAGATACTCTTTACTGCTTTGTCAAAGATTAGTTGGCCATGTGTTTTTGGGTCCAATTCTGGGTTTTCTATTCTATTCCACCCATTCCTATTTATTGACCAATGCTTATATAGGATACCGTTTTAAAAACAAGAGGTGACTGCAAGTTTTGATAGGTTTGGTCACATTACACATTAACTAGTTTTACCTATTAACCAGTTCAGTCATTGATTATATACAAGCTGATTTTAGAGGACTGGCTGTCCTACTGATATAATAAGAATTGTTAATTCAGTGTGATATCATCCATCCATGTTCCATCGGCACAGACAGCGAAGACAATTTAGGTAATGGAGGTTACATCATATTTTGCCCGGCTAGTTTTATCATCTTCTACACTCAATAGTTTTGACTATTTAGCAATTGGAAAAAATACTTGCAAACATCATGACTAGGACTGATAATAACCTACCAGTACAAAAGGATAAAATATACATACACACAGACACACAGACACAGACACACACACACACACACACACACACACACACATCTACTTGATGTGTACTTGAAATACTTGTCATTAGAGTCTATTCTGGGAGATAATGTGGCAGTGCACTTATTTTTAATTAAAGATGGTACTCCCTGAATGTGCCCCAGACTTATTTGTGGTGTTCTCATAGTCCCACCTGGGAAACACAAAGGGCAGTTTACTGGACTAAGAATAATAAGTGTGAAAAATGACAAAGAACCTTGAAGTTTCTTGAAAATAGAAAAACACCCATAATGTGGAGCAGGTGGAGGACAGGTCACACTAATTCAGAGTCATCCATCATGACCACACCTATACATGGCCACCCTTCGCTCCTAATGAGCCCCGGGCCCAGGAGTGCATGGCCCATAAGCAATCAAAACTGACCTTTTAAGAATGTTCTAAATTCTGCCACCTTTGGACACCAGAGAATTCACATATGAAAGAATCAAATCAAAGAGTACAAACAATTCTCCACTTTATTTAACCAAACCTTTTTTTAAATGTTTACTTATTTATTTTTGAGAGAGGAAGAGAGAGAGAGAGTACAAGCAGGGCAGGGGAAGAGAGAGACAGGGAGACACAGAATCTGAGCTGTCAGCCCCAGAGCCCAATGCGGTGGCTCAGACCCACGAACCGTGAGATCATGACCTGAGCCAAAGTCAGATGCTTAACCAACTGAGCCACCCAGGCACCTACCAAACCCTTCATATTATATTTACCTGAGATGTTCACTCCATCCTCTCACTCATTTAATCTTCCCTGGTGTGGAAAGGAGAATTAATGAACCCAGGATTCAGCAAATTACAGTGTAGGCTTTTGGGAGGTGTTGAGCTTTGATCTTCGGCACAGACCCACTGCATCTGAGTGAGGAGGAGGAATGTCCATGTTAAAAATGAAAAAAGAGGGGCGCCTGGGTGGCTCAGTCAGTTAAGCGTCTGACTTCGGCTCAGGTCAAGATCTCACGGTTCGTGGGTTCGAGCCCCGCGTTGAGCTCTGTGCTGACAGCTAGCTCAGAGCCTGGAGCCTGTTTCAGATTCTGTGTCTCCCTCTCTCTCTGACCCTCCCTTGCTCATGCTGTCTCTCTATCTCTCCAAAATAAATAAAACATTTAAAAAAAATGAAAAAAGAACAGGGAAGGAAGAAAGGAAGGAAAGGATAAAGGGAGGGAAGAAGGAAAAGGGAAGGTGTTTTTTTTTTTAATATTTTTTTGTCTTTATTTTATTTGAGAGAGAGAAACAGAGAGTGAGCAGAGGAGGGGCAGAGAGAGAGGGAGACACAGAATCTGAAACAGGCTCCAGGTTCCAGCGTGATGCGGAGCTTGAATCCACGGACTGTGAGATCGTGACTTGAGCCGAAGTCAGACGCTTAACTGACTGAGCCACTCAGGGTGCCCCAGAAAGGAAAGGTTTTAAAAGGAAGGAGGAATGGAAATACTCCGTATGTAATTTTTACTACCAACCGGTTTTGGGAATCTCTAATCCAGTGGTTTTCCAGTGCTGACTTTTAAAAAGTCAGCATCACTTGGGAACTTATTAGAAATGCAAATTCTTAGACACTACCCTGGACTCACAATATTGGAAGCTTTGGGGTGGGGGCTCAGAAATCTGTGTGTTAACAAGCTTTCCAGACGGTTCTATGACACACACACTAAGGCATATTCTGCACTCCTACAGATCCAAATATGACAGGCCCCCAAAAGAAGCCTTGTTCCTGCAATAATTTTGTTCTCTCTCTCTCCCTCCCTCTCCTTTTCTGGTTCTCACCATCCTAGGGAGACTGTAAAAATAACAAACGAACATATAAAAATGGAATTTATATTATGGTTATTGTATACATGCCTCCTCAGCTTTCCTAGTTTATAGTAAGGTACCTCGGGTTAAAGAACATGTGTTGTTCACCTGTATACCCCACTGCAAAAAACAGTATAATGCCTTACTCATTCATAAATACTTGCTAATGAACAAATAAGCTGTTGTCTTATAAAGTTTAAGTTTTCTGTTTGAAATTTACAAACACATCCAGGGAAGGTGGCGGATCTTTAATTCTGCTTGTGCACGTGCTCATCTAATGTTACACACATGGTATGTGTATTTATAGCTTAAGCATAATGGAAGCTAATTACCACAAGCAAGGAAAACAATTCGAATTAAATTGCCTACTGATTTGGAATCGATAGCATAATTTTCCTATATGAAGGAAAATCAGATTCCTAGTTCAGCCCTAGGTTCTTAAAACATATTCAGTAAATCATGGTTTATAATGATAATATTGTTATCAGGATTATCATGCCTTCAAGTGAAGGTGCATCAGAAATTTTATGTCATTCTTGGAAACCTAAAACAAATGTATGCTGGTCAGAAAACTGCAAAATATTTGGTAATAACTAACCTACTAGAAAAAGTACATTACATGTTATTACTGAAATATGGATTTTGAAAATGCTAAGACAATAAAATCAAACACAGGAGGTTAAAAGCAATTTTTTCCATGATCACAGATTTATGGCTCAGTTAATCAATATTTGAAATGTATGTGTGTAGCTCGGTTGTTAAGCCATTTCTCTACAAACCACAAATTAATATTAATGAGAAATTCAATAACATTCAGCAGCAGCATTCTGTCACTGTGCTAATCATTGATTTTAATTTTAAATACTAACACAATGGCAATTTTTTTTGTCAGCTTAAAGCATTAATTGCGCGGAAACAGCAAGACCTACGTCACTTGAAATTCTGTTGTGGGAGATTTGAGAGCAGAGCCGTCGACAGTGACCAGGTAGCAAAATTTGCAGTGTGCTCTCCAGCAATTGGCAAATGACTATGAATGATTCCATCCCTCATCATGAATAGCTGACCCCTGGGGTTATTTGGTTTGCAGTCTACAACCAGTCTGTTTAAAGAGCTGCCTGGTGTCGGAGATGGAGTGGGTTCCTTCTGAACGAAAAATTTGGTCATGAGACCAAGGAACAGAGCCACCAAAACAGCTGGCGTTTTGTACCAGGAGAGAGGAGAGAGGAGAAGAGATTGAGAGGAGTGACAATAGATGAACAGCCAGCATGTGAAGGCCCAGCATCCTCGTGTGAGAGGCCTGATAAAATATGGACCGTGTATTATTGAGCCCAACCACATAGTCTTTCTGAAACAGCAAAAGCAGTGTGCTCTAATATCGCAGATTAGAAAAAGCAGTTTTCTCTTTTATCAAGATGAGATGATCCCAAAGCCTAACTAACAAATTATTGAGCAAAAAGTGTCCAGATCCTGCAACCCAAGATCCATCTCTCTTTGGGCCCTCATAAGTGGTCGTAAGTATACATTATATATGTACAGGTGATAAGCAGGGAGAAAAATACCAGGTTGTTCCAAAAGTGGGAGCGATTGTGTAGGGAGAGGAGGAAATGCATAGAAAATAAAAGGCTTCACTAAAACTGAACAACAGTATATATTCTTATTTCTGTAAAATTATGACTATGCAGGTATACAAATTAGAGACAAAGGTTCCAGCTATAGCTGTTGACTTACGGAAAATCCCATGACAAATTACCAAATAAAAATTAGATTTTAAAGTCTATAGAGTGTATCATATAAATGTGTAACACAAATAATGAAACAAAAAAGAGAAACCAGAGATATTTATGTATAAATGACCATATTTGCCTGTTTACCTAGGAGAAGATATAAAAGGGTACCTACTAGTCTATTAAAAATGGATGGGTGCATCTGGGAGGCTCTTTCAGTTGAGCATCCGACTTTGGCTCAGATCATGATCTCGCAGTTCGTGGGTTTGAGCCCTGCATTGGGCTCTGTGTGGACAGCTTGGAGCCTGAAGCCTGCTTGAGATTCTGCCTCTCTCTCTCTGACCTCCCCTGCTCGCTCTTTCTCTCTCCCTCCCTCTCCCTCTCTCAAAGATAAATTAAACATCAAAAAAAAATTTTTAATAAAAAAATGAATACTCCAGGAGACTAAGAAGATGGGAAAGTTATTCACGTTTCCTGTACACATCTTTGTATTGTTTCACTTTTATGCTATGCATACACAACTTTTTTCACATGTTAATTTTTTGTGAAAGTACAACCCAAGAAGCCCCGCGTCGCTTGAGTATGCAGCTCAACGGATTATGACAAAGTGAACACAAGCATGTAACTGCCACACAGTTACCCATGAAGAAAAAAATTATTGCAATCTCGGAAGCCTTCCCCAAACCTTCCAATCACAGCCTCCAGGACCTCATCTCTTTCGATCGCCGTCTATCTCTGTAAATTGGTTCTGTCTGCTTCTCAATTTAATATAAATGCACTATATATTTTCTGTATCTGAATGCTGTCATTTACCCTTATGTTGTGAGATTCATCCATGCTGCTTTCCGTAACAGCAGTTTATTCCTTTTCATTCAGTTAAGACCCATAATTCACCTCTATTCTCTACTCTTGATGAGCACTGAAGTTGCTCACAATCTTGAGACAGTAGGGGAACATGAATACTGCCTCAGAAATCCGGATGGATTTTAATGGATACACACTCCATCCCTTTGTGTCTATCCAGGTCCTGCTGGCAGTGAGCAACCTTGAGGGATGAGGTAATGTTCTGGGCAAAATTCAGTCTTGCCTAATGTTAGCTATATAATAGGTTCCCCAAGTTCAGGGTTTCTCTGTGTATTTCAATCCACTGTGCAAGTGCCATCTGGCCCCTCTGTGCTGCCTCCATGGGGCTTCAGAGGAAAGGGGAGCAGACACAAATGCCATTCCTGCTGCATCCTGTGGCATGAGTAATAAATTTGTCTCTGACCCAAAGGTCTTCTGTCTTCTGTCAGTGTCCGTGAAGTATCAACAGGACAACCCATCACTTGTAACAAAGTAAAATCAAATCCCAACCTTACACCCACCACATCACACATTCCAGTGTGTATTTCCCACACACATAACCACAGTAACAACAGCAAAGTCAGGAATTAACATGTTACTGGCCCAGTAAATGTACTGTGTGTTCACCATCAACAGCACCAAGTCCTTTGAGGACACCCACCAGTGCAGGGAGGAGATGAGGTGGGCGAAGAATTTGGAAGACTCCTGGGGCGCGGGTAGGGAACAGGGTGGCCTGGCCTTCCCTAGGTGGAGACAGAGGCCAAGACGCAACAGAGCAGCAGCTCTGGCTCCAGCTCTAACTCCAGCTCCCCGACGCGGCGGACCCCCCCGGGACAGGCGTGACTCGCGCCCCAAGCTGGCGTGCCCGGTGGGGCAGCACAAGGTGTGCAAGCTAAGTCCGTCCGAACAGGTCGGTACTGATGCAGCAGATGCCAGGCCTGCTCTCCCTAGGCCGGGGCGCACCCCCTGTAATCCTGCTGGACCTTTAAGTCCTGCTCCCTGGCCCTGAGAGGTGCGGGGTGCTGGGAGCGGGTACGTATTGAGGGAAGAGGAGAGAGGAAAGGAAGGAAGTGCCTCTGGAGCCGGGCTGGCCACAGAGGTGGTCACAGACCCTTCGAGGGACGCTCAGCACAGGCTGTTACAAACTGTCCCAGACGCCAGCAGCCCCGCCAGCTGGATGCTCCCCTCTCAGCCCTCCTCAAGCCCTTCAGGCGTGGTCTGAATCACAGTAGGTTATTTGATGGCCTTGAAAAAGATCCTCAGATCCCAGTCAAGTTTTATTTTAAAGACATAGTATCGTGTCTTTATTCCTCCAGTCCCTTTATTCTCCTCCAGTCTGGGACAGTTTCTCAGCCTTTTCTAACCTGTATGACTTTGGCACTTGAAGATTATAGGCCAGTTATTTCAGAGAATGCCTGTCAATTTCACTTTGTGTGTTTCTGTATTTCCCCATAACGAGATTCAGTAGGCATTCTTGGTAGAAATACCACTGTAGTTGACGCTGTGTTCTTGCATCTTATCAGGCAGTACAGAATTTTAATTGGTGCAGTTACTGATAATGTTCATCTTGATCTTTTGATTAAGGTGTTGTCAGTGAAGGTTCTTCACTGCAATATTGAGCTTTCTTTGTTTCTATTTAATAAATGTCTCATGGGAAGTAATTTATATATGATTTGATATATAAAACTATGTATATATTCTACTTTTCATCAAACTTTAAACTTGTTTGTTTAGGACTTAACAGTTTTCTATTTTATTCAATGAGTCATAATCCATTGCTGTTATTATTTATTTTAATGCTCAAATTTTCTCAGACTTGCCCAGTGGGAGGGCATCCAAATTGGCTTCTGTGTCTTTCTGATACAATTCCATCAGAGTTTTTGCTTGCTTCCTGTCATAATAATATATCCAGGCTTATCTCATACTTTCCCTGCCTACATAGATATCTACATATCCATTTACATATTTTGAAAACCATGAGTTCACATCAATCATTCTATTTCCAATCAGGAATTATTTTAGCTTTCTTCCTTCCTGTGATTATAATTCCCTCCTCAAACAGTAAGAAATTTGGCATCCTTTATCCTTGGTATATTTGCTTATTTGTTCAGTCTTTGCCATGTAACCTAGTAGAAACCAGGCAAAGGATTTTGATAGGCAATTCACAAAAGAGAATATCTAATTGCCAACAAGCATCAGAAAAGGCACTGAATATCACTTACAATCAGAAAATGCAAATTGAACTCACAATGAAATTTCACTACACATCCAAGTGGGTGAGGATGGAGAGCACAATATCATTTTATGCTAGTCAAGTATAAATTACTACAGCCATTTTGGAAAAGATTTGGGAATTCATTCTAAAGAGTAGTGATTAATGGATCTTTGTAATGAATCAAACTGAAAACTACCTGATAGTCCATCAACTTCTAAGTACATGAATAAATTGTGATGTGTTTATATAAGAAACATTACACAGCAATAAAAAGGAACAAATTCCAAGAGATATCCAAAAATACAGACTAATTTCACAAACATAGCATTGAGCAAAAGAAAGATGACCTTAAATGACAGCATCATACAAGGTTTTACAAAGGCCATACAGAACTAGGTGTGTCTGGGTGGCTCAGTCAGTTAAAATCCCACTCTTGATTTTGGCTCAGGTCATGAGATCCAGCCCTGTGTCGGGCTCCACACTGACAGCGTTGAAGCCTGCTTGGTATTCTCTCTCTCTCCTCTCTCTCTCTCTCTCTCTCAATCTCTCTCTCTGCCCCATCCCCTCTGAAAAACAAACAAACAAACAAACAAATCAGACAGAACTAAATATTGTGACAGAGGTGGTAAAGGTAAGTTAGATTGCAGAGATGAGGGAGAGAACTATACTCAGGGAAGGGAAGGCATTTCTAGAATGCCAAAATGTTCTATTTCTTGCAGTCTTCTATAGACATATTTTATAGTTTAAAAAGGTTCAAAATTGATTGGCCCTTCCTCAATGCAAATCATTGATGTTATTATGTAGTATATTGGATTTAAATTCTCAGTCAGGCTTTTAAGGCCTCTTCAATCAGTCCTAATTTATTTATCCAGTCTCATCCCTTGGTTCTCTGTGATATATATTCTATAAACAATCAAGTCACTCCCAAGAAAATTTGAGAAAAATCAAGAACAAGCAATTCACAAATGAAGAAATACAGTAAAAACCACTTTAAAAAAATCAACCTTACTGCAAATTAAGAAATATAAAAGTTTAATACATATACTTTCTTTATCAGGTTGGCAAAATAATGATAACATCTTGTATGGTGAAGGTGTGGGGAAATAGCACCTCCCATTAAAATCTAGACAAGAAGATTAATGGAAGGAAAAACAGAATACAATTGGGTGATAAAGAAATCTGCTGAAAGTAATGAAGTGATGTTAGTTGAAAAATATACCTAAGAACCAAAAGGGAGAAACCAAACTCAGTCAATACTGAAAAAAAAAAAATCACTTGAGAGAAATACCCAGATCAAGCAATCCAACCAATACGTGAACTTACATTTTTTTCTAAAATCATCATTCCTTACCCCAAATGGATTTGGTAATGGTCAGTTTCCTCCTTGTTTGGCTCTAAAAATCTTTGCCAGGGGACCAGGTTTCCATAAGAGGAATTCAGAACAGAAAAATATTCTAATGATGAAGTTAATCCTTGAACGACTTGAGAATTATAAACAACCTTTCTGTAAGACTCAAATACTGCCTTGATTATTTCTTAAATCTACCAAATAGAAGTAATTAAAGATTCATTCAAGCACTTATGATGTCCATCAGAGTAGCAGCTGGGTACGAGTAGGTGGTAGAGGGGCACCTGGGAGGCTTAGTCGGTTAAGCGTCTGACTTTAACTTAGGTCATGATCTTGTGGTTCATGGGTTCGAGCCCCGCGTTGGGCTCTGTGCTGACTGCCAGCTCAGAGCCTGGAGCCTGCTTCAGTCTGTGACTCCCTCTCTCTCTGACCCTCCCCTGCTCACGCCGTCTCTCTCTCTCTCCTAGAAATAAATAAAACATTAAA